GGGGGGGGGGGGGGGGGCTACACCCCCCAAATCGAAATTCGGCTCAAAATCATGGAATTTGCGTTGTAGGCATTTTTAGCTTTCTCAGCCTCTCCTACAACTATTTCATGGCAACTATTACCCCCCAAAACCGTATTTGTTCCCATACCGGGAATTTTTGTAACCGCCGTTTCCTCATAAAGTCAGTATTTTATTTTTCTTTATCGGCCGTTTTCTCAAAATGTAACTTTTCTCTATACTTTAAAAAAATGTTTAATAACTCCACCAATTTTCATCCAATCTTCATGAAATTTTCACAGAATGAAGAGAAGAGGTAATACTAAAAATTTGTCTGTTGAATTTTTGATATATGGAATAGATTTTTGTTGGTGGTGTCTGGAGTGTGGATTTTCACGGATTTTTCGCAAACTTGAATGCTACCTCAGGAAAAAATTCATTAAAAATTTTCTAATTCGATTAGGAAAAAAACAACAGACAAATTTTTAGATCTAATGTTTGTGAACACGCCTGCAATAAAGCAATCAATTTCCATGAGCGATAAGCGCGGTATTCATTACGTAAGACATGTCAATAAAATCCAATATGGCGGCGTATCCATGGAAACGAAACTTTTTTCTCAATTTGATTGCGGATTTAGGACTCTTTACTATGCTTGTTATATGTGTGAAATTTGGTAAAATTCGGTCCAGTAATAAGCGAGATAGCCTCCAGGTGTAGCCCCCCCCCCCCCTTAAGAATAATTATTGTCTAACAAACAATCAATTTTTTTTTTTAAAGAGTCTCAAAACCCCTACTCCCACCCCACCCTTTAAAATAAAACTCGTTATAAAAAATTCTTTTGTGAAATAACCGGTTGGTCAGTCTTAGTTTTTCGGATTTTCGCCAACTCTGGTCCTGGCTTAAGGGTTTTCAGTGCGATTCCCTTCTCGAGTACATCTCGAGAACTGTTCTCGAGTGACTGAAAATTATCTTGACGCTAAGCCTCACACCCATCTCCGACTTATGCGAATTTTCGTCACAACCTTCTTCAAGGCTGTTGATTAAAAAACAAAAGTTACAACAAAAAATCTTCCCTTTGAACCCAAAATTATTATGATTTATGTCTGTTTTCCGAAGAATTTCAGTTCAATTTTGTACTTCAATTTTTTTGCGACTGGGATACGGTGCTTTTATACTGAATTAAATAAACACGAAGCAAATTTAGAGTTGGTGCAAAATAGGTATAAGTTGGCGACCAGTGTCTTGTGTGTATTTATTATTATTTTTAGTTGAGTATTTTTTGTTTCTGTTGTTGTTGGTGGTGGTGGTTGTGGTGTTGTTTTTGTTGTTCTTTTGTTTTGGGGTTTGTTGTTTTTTTTCTATTGCAGGAGAGCCTGAGTGTACATCCTGCTCCGAGTGAACGAAGTCAGCGCTTGACATGCACGGTTTATGGGCTTGCTCTGCACCTCACACTTGTATTGTGAACATTAAAAGTAAAAGGATATCCAGGACGTATGTAAGCATGCGTGCACTCATGTATGTATGTAAGACAAGGACGAGGTGCTGGCTCATCATATAAACACGTAGGCCTATACAAACACATACAAAACATAAACACTTGAATGTGTGTGTGTGTGTGTGTGTGTGTGTGTGTGTGTGTGTGTGTGTGTGTGTGTGTGTGTGTGTGTGTGTGTTTGAAATGTGTGTGTGTGTTTTTTTGAAATTTGTGTGTGTGGGGGGGGGGGGGGGGAGGGCGTGCTTGTTTGCGTGTGACGGGTGTGCGTCTCAATGTGTGTGTGTGTATGTGTGTGAATGTGTGTATGTGTGTATGTGTGTATGTGTGTGTGTGTGAATGTGTGTGTATGTGTGTGTGTGTGTGTGTGTGTGTGTGTGTGTGTCTGCATGTTTTTGTGTGTGAACACGTATATTATGCCTAACATAATACTAACTCTCCCCTATACTTTATGTTCCCTTTTCCACTTCTACTACGGCGCTTTTCAAGCTGCTTCACGGTTGGTCGAGGTTTGAGATAAGCATTATGTATGCCAGCACGCAGAATTAAATTTAGTGAAAGATAACACAGATTTTATCGGCATTGTTCTTGTCATGTTGTTATGCTTGCATACATGTTTACGGATTCTTTAAGGAAGCCTGAGAAAGACTGACCTCGTTTTTAAAGCAAGGGTTAGCCTACAAACAACCCGACCTGGAGAAATCTCATTCTAGAAAAATCCTTGTTTGATAAGGATTCAGGAACTAAACTTGAATACATAAAGAACAAATAAACCTACAGGTCATGGTGCCCACTCACTAGGCTCGACATAGCATAAAGAGGTCAGCAGAAACGGTTTCTTTGTGGATCCCTATTTTGGGAGAGGAGACCCTGTCAATAAAATGTCATCTCTCTTTTCGCTTTCATTCGCTCTTGTGTGCTCTTATGTACGAAAGAGGCTGCAACGTTGTATGTCCGTCCCGAGAAGTGAGATTTTAATGATTTAAAAATAGACGAATCGGGCAGAGAGAGAGAGTTTCAAAAAAAAAGAAAGACAGATAGTAGAGAA